TCATATTATAAACCTGATTTTTTCAATATATTCATTATTTTCTGTACATATTTCACATAAGAAATATCACTTACGCCTGTTAGAATGTCAATAGAAGTCACTACGTTGAATTCTCCTTCCCTGTAAGCTAATTCTAAAAAATGATACGAATAAACAAGATAAATTTACTAAAATCAATAATATTTACAAAGATGGAAACGAAAAGAACAGACAAGCAACTGTGTATTGATAGCCTTTGGATTTCCATTCTTCCGTCCTTTCCTTGATCTCTGTTTGATTTCTTGAGTAGGTATGTACTGTTGCACCAAATCCTGCTAATTCTTCCACTATTGCATAACTACAATATCAAAAATAAACAAACTTGCTGTTTTATTCTTCCTGAGCTCCCTGCATCCATGTAATGGAGAAATATAGAACAAATACACATGATTCCAAGTAAGAAGTTGTTGTGATCAAGAATATGTGATATTACCTACTGAAAGGGTGCATAATCATTCATAGAACCACCACCCACCTTGCAATTGTCCATAGCCAAAGCCTTGTAATGCAGAAATCCAAAAGAAAAAAAGATCAAAAGACATTCATATGGTCAACACATGAAACCTGAATAGTACAATGAAACCATAATCCTCTCATGTGAATCCTATTAATGATAACAAGAACATGCTAATACCAAGGAAATTGTGCCCTATGCAATCAATCAAGCAAAAGCCATATGGAAATTACAATGGGAAAAAAAATGAAAGCACACAAATACAAACATAATCGTAATCGTGAAATCTGTCATTAAGATCGATTGAAACTTAGAATTCACAAGTATATTGAAACTAAAAATTGAATAGCAGAGAGAAAGCAAATTAAGATGAATCACCTAAGTTGAAAATGGAAGAGTTGTAGAGAAATCGAGGATATATTTGACCTATCTTGTTGTCATGTCAAAGATCAAGGGCCAAACATTTTTCACATCTCTGCGGTTTCGTACCAAGAAACTTTAGACGGTGATAGGCATTAGGCGAACGAGAGGATATATGTTGTCTGAATCCTCAAATCAGAATGATTTCCTTCCTTCCATTGTTGTGAAGTTGCCTCCTTCATGTTGTAACTGTATAGTTGCTTCATCTAGTTTGTCACTTGAACACTAAGAGGACAAAGTACATTACACTTGGATCCTAGTTCATGAGCAGACAACGTGCTGCTTTTTTCCATGATGTATATGTTGAAAAATATATTCCAATAAGAAAGATGAAAACAAAATAAAGATATAATCTTTATAAAACGTTAATTATTTAACGTACAAAAATAAACCTTTTAGAATTTAGAACCACCAACCCCTCAACAGTGAGTCAAAACCACCCAGATTGAATCTATCCTTCGCGATAGATTGAATGAAAGAAAGGAGTAGAAGCAAAGTTGTTCACTTAGTGAACAAAAAGTTAAATACAATGCGAATATATAAACCCAACCTGATTAATTTGGTATCGATTTGGATTATAATATGCACGGTAAAACCTATCCTTTAAAGTTTTATACGACCACTATATTCACGCTGTAAGTCTGCTAGTCGCAAAGCCCCAGGATTTGATGCATCATTCGATTCGTTTATGAACAACGATAAAAAAACAAATATAGAGCACGGTTTACGTAGAAAACAGTAGAGAGAAAGTACAACTCGGGAGCAGAACTCGATGCAGAGGAAATCATAAATTTTCAGTGTGTATTTCGAACTGGCTTCAACCCAGTTTATATACTAGTTGAGGCCGATTTTTCTTCCATGAAATCCTCATAAATCGAAGATAATGGTGGAGAAAAATTCTCCACTAACCATTATCTCAAATACTAAGTCAAATATGGCTAATTTCAAATTAAACAAAAGTGATAATTATCCTTCTCGTCATGAAATTTTATCAAAAAGATACACGGAGCTCGAGGGGAGGCTTCTTCTGCTCCGATGCGGCGTGCGAAGTGCAAAGTGCGCCACCTTCTCGAATCCCGCGCCCTCGGCCTCGGCCACAGCCACACGCACGCGTGTTTGGGGCCTTCCACTCAAGACCCCCACCATGAGTCCACCAACTTGTTCAAAGCCCATTTCTAGAGAAAGCCTTATAAGCTTCTCTAGAAATTAATTTTCTACCAATGTGGGATGGAAGGTAAACTTCCAACCTACAAAGCCCATTCCTTCCTACCGATTCACTCGTTCCGACCTCCTCACTACCATCTTCACTCATATTGAGGCGATACGTACCCAACTGGTAGTATTCCTTTCTAACGAACGTCTTCCTCTTCTAAATCACGACCTTCCTAGCCTCTATATTTATATCAAACCCGTTTTCATCGATTTTGGTTGCGGAGAAGAGCCTCTTGTTAATGGAAGACACGTGAAGAAAATTTCAGAGAGGGACGGTCTTGCCGAAAGTGAACTTCAGTAGCACGGTACCCATTCCAGCGACATTCGCACGGCCGTTGTTAGCAACTATCACTTGCTTCCTACCACGAACCGGTTCATATTCAACAAACTTGGACCTGGAGTCACAAACATGAATAGTGGATCCATAGTCCAAGTACCAGCCACCTCTTCTAGCCACAATTCTCATAGAGGCCTCTGAGATCATGTCAATCTCTTCCATGTGGAGATTCGCCATAAGGTGTTGAATCCCCTCAACAGAATTAGCAGCAGGGGGTCCAAACTTTTTGTCTTTACATTTACGAGCATAGTGTCCCGTCTCTTTGCAGACGTGACATCTTCCGACCCTCTTAAACTTCTGTCGCGGGTTCGATTGACTGCCAGATCTCTTGAAACTCTTCTTTTGTGGACCCAAGTTCTACTTTCTGTTTGGCCCTCTGGCCCTTCCCTTACCATTACCTCCAGCCTGCACGCTGTTGGCATTCATCACAGACTTGCCTCTCCTTTCCCGATTACGTGCCTCTTCCTCAATACGAAGATGTTTTAGTAAATCATCCAAAGAATAATCTTTGGTTTTATGCATCATTCTTTTAGAAAAATCTTTCCAACAAGATAAAGGCAATCTGTTAATCACTGTCCCTACTTGGAAAATTTCAAGAATAACAATAGAAAGCATTTTCAGATTGTTTACTAAAACTTGGAGCTCATGCACTTGCTTCAGAACCGGTATTTCATCAACCATTTGGAATCTCAAATACTGAGACATAAGATATTTGTTGGTGCCATCTTCTTGTGGCTTGTATTTGAATTCTAATGCTTTCCACAACTCTCTAGGGCACGTAATCGGGGAACATAGATTATACAGACGATCTGACAAAGCATTCTTAATGTGTCCACAAGCAAGAGTTTCCTCTTCCTTGCGGATCATTTTTAGCTTTTCCAGATCAACAATTCTTTGAAGATCAGGCTGTTTCCCTGGTTCAGGGACCGGATCTTCGGGAATAGGTGGGAGGCTTGGGTCCAGGACATAGTAGAGTTTTACCACCATTAACATAATTATTCAACAGCGAGTCAAAACCACCCAGATTGAATATATCCTTCGCGATAGATTCAATGAAAGAAAATTGTAGAAGCAGAGTTTTTCACTTGGTGAAGAGAAAATTAAATACAATGCGAATATATAAAACCAACCTGATTAATTTGCTGTCGATTTGGATTGTAATTTGCATGGTAAAATGTGTCTTTTAAGGTTTTATACGACCACTGTATTCACGCTGTGAGTCTGCTAGTCGCAAAGCCCCATGATTTGATGCAGTATTCGTTTAGCTTATGAACAGCGATCAAAAACGAATATAGAGCACGGTTTACGTAGAGAACAGTAGAGAGAAAGTAGAACTCGGGAGCAGAACTCGATGGAGAGGAAATAAGAATTTTTAGTGTGTATTTCGAACTGGCTTCAACCCAGTTTATATACTGGTTGAGGCCAATTTTTCTTCCATGAAATCCTCAAAAATCGAGGATAATGGTGGAGAAAAATTCTCCACTAACCATTATATCAAATACTAGGTCAAATCCGTTTAATTTCAAATTAAAAAAAAACTGATAATTATCCTTCTCTTCACGAAATTTTATCAAAAAGATACTCGGAGCTCGAGGCGAGGCTTCTTCGGCTCCGCTGCGGCATGCAGAGTGCAAAGTGTGCTTCCTCGTGCCACCTTTGCGAATCCCGCGCCCTAGGCCTTGGCCACGGCCACGCGCATGCGTGTGTGTTGGGCCTTCCACTCAAGAACCCCACCATGAGTCCACCAACTTGTTCAAAGTGCATTTCTAGAGAAAGCCTTATAAGCTTCTCTAGAAATTAATTTTCTACCAATATGGGATAGAAGGTAAACTTACAAAACCCATTACTTCCTACCGATTCACTCGTTCCGACCTCCTTACTGGCATCTTCACTCAGATTGAGGCAATACATACCCAACTCGTAGTATCCCTTTCCAATAAACGTCTTCCTCTTGTAAATCATGACCTTCCTAGCCTCTATATTTATTCCAAACCCGTTTTCATCGAGTTTGCTTGCAGAGAAGAGGCTCTTGTTAATGGAAGGCACGTGAAGAACATTTCGGAGAGTGACGGTCTTGCCGAAAGTGAAGTTCAGTAGCAGGGTACCCATCCCAACGACATCCGCACGACCATTGTTAGCAACTATCACTTGTTTCCCATCTCGAACCGGTCCATATTAAACAAACTTGGACCTGGAGTCACAAACATGAAAAGTGGCTCCAGAGTTCTAGTAATAGCCACCTCTTCCAGCCATAATTTTCAAAGAGGCCTATGAGATCATGTCAATCTCTTCCATGTGGAGATTCTCCACAAGGTGTTGAATCCCCTCAACAGAATTAGCAGCATGGGGTCCGGACTTTTGGTCCTTACATTCATGAGCATAGTGTCCCGTCTATCTGCAGACGTGACATCTTTCGACGCTCTTAAACTTATGTCCCGGGTTCAATTGACTGCCAGATCTCTTGAAACTCTTCTTTTGTGGACCTAAATTCCACTTCCTGTTTGGCCCTCCGGCCCTTCCCTTATCCTTGCCTCCAGCCTACACGCTGTTGGCCTTAATCACAGACTTGCCTCTGCTTTCCCGATTACGTGCCTTTTTCTCAATGCGAAGATGTTTTAGTAACTCATCCAAAGAATAATCTTCGGTTTTATACATCATTCTTTTAGAAAAATGTTTCCAAAATGGTAGCAGTTTGTCAATCACTGCCCCTACTTGGAAAATTTCAGGAATAGCGATAGAAAGCATTTTTAGTTTGTTTACAAAAACTTGGAGCTCATGCACTTGCTCCAGAATTTGTTTTTCATCAACCATTTGGAATCTCAAATACTGAGACACAAGATATTTGTTGGTGCCATCTTCTTGTGACTTGTAATTGAATTTTAATGCTTTCCACAACTCTCTAGGGCACGTAATCGGGAAATAAAGATCATACAGACAATCTGACAGAGCATTCTTAATGTGTCCACAAACAAGAGTTTCCTCTTTTTTGCAGATCAGTCTTAGCTTTTCCAGATCAGCAATTTTATCAAGATCTGGTTGTTTCCCTAGTTCAGGTACCGGATCTTCGGGAATAAGTGGGAGGCTTGGGTCCAGGACATAGTAGAGTTTTACCACCATTAACATAAATTTTACTTTATCTGCCCAACGAGTGTCCATTTGAGTTATAAAACCTTAATGATTGTTGAAAAATATATTCCAATAAGAAAGATGAAAACAAAATAAAGATATAATCTTTATAAAACGTTAATTATTTAACGTACAAAGATAAACCTTTTAGAATTTAGAACCACCAACCCCTCAATAGCGAGTCAAAACCACCCAGATTGAATCTATCATTCGCGATAGATTCAATGAAAGAAAGGAGAAAAAGCAGAGTTGTTCACTTAGTGAACAGAAAATTAAATACAATGCGAATATATAAAACCAACCTGATTAATTTGCTATCGATTTGGATTGTAATCTGCATGGTAAAACCTGTCCTTTAAGGTTTTATACGACCACTCTATTCACGTTTTGAGTCTGTTAGTCGCAAAGCCCCAGATTTGATGCAGTATTTGATTCGTTTATGAGCAGCGATAAAAAATGAATATAGAGCAAGTTTTACGTAGAAAATAGTAGAGAGAAAGTAGAACTCGGGAGCAGAACTCGATGTAGAGGAAATCAGAATTTTTTCAGTGTGTATTTCGAACCAGCTTCAACCTAGTTTATATTTTGGTTGAGGCCGATTTTTCTTCCATGAAATCATCATAAATCGAAGATAATTGTGGATAAAAGTTCTCCTCTAACCATTATCTCAAATACTAAGTCAAATTCGGTTAATTTCAAATTAAAAAAAAAACTAACAATTATCCTTCTCTTCACGAAATTTTATCAAAAAGATACTCGGAGCTTGAGGCGAGGCTTCTTCTGCTCCGATGCGGCGTGCAAAGTGCAAAGCGCGCCTCCTCGCGCCACCTTCACGAATCTCGCACCCAGGCCCTCGGCCTCGGCCACGGCCACGCGCRYGCGTGTGTGTTGGGCCTTCCACTCAAGACCCCCACCATGAGTCCACCAACTTGTTCAAAGCCCATTTCTAGAGAAAGCCTTATAAGCTTCTCTAGAAATTAATTTTCTACCAATGTGGGATGGAAGGTAAACTTCCAACTTACAAAGACCATTACTTCGAACCGGTTAAGTCGTTACGACTTCCTCACTACCATCTTCACTCAGATTAAGGCGATATATACCCAACTGGTAGTATCCCTTTTCAATGAATGTCTTCCTCTTGTAAATCATGACCTTCCTAGCCTCAATGTTTATTCCAAACCCGTTTTCAACGATTTTGCTTGTAGAGACGAGGCTCTTGTTAATGGAAGGCACGTGAAGAACATTTCGGAAAGTGACGGTCTTGCCGGAAGTGAACTTCAGTAGCACGGTACCCATTCCAACGACATCCACACGGCCGTTGTTAGCAACAATCACTTGATTCCTATCTCGAACCGATCTATATTCAACAAACTTGGACCTGGAGTCACAAACATGAACAGTGGCTCTAGAGTCCAAGTACCAGCAACCTCTTCTAGCCACAATTCTCGTTGAGGCCTCTAGGATCATGTCAATCTCTTCTATGTGGAGATTTCCCACAAGGTGTTGAATCCCCTCAATAGAATTAGCAGCAGGGAGTTCGGACTTTCTGTCCTTACATTCACGAGCATAGTGTCTCGTCTCTCCGCAGACGTGACATCTTTCGACCTTCTTAAACTTCTGTCCCGGGTTCGATTGACTGCCAGATCTCTTAAAACTCTTCTTTTGTGGACCCAAGTTCCACTTCCGGTTTGGCCCTCCGGCCCTTCTCTTACCCTTGCCTCCATCCTGCACGTTGTTGGCATTCATCACAGACTTGCCTCATCTTTCCCGATTACGTGCCTTTTCTTCAAGACGAAGATGTTTTAGTAAATCATCCAAAGAATAATCTTCGGTTTTATGCATCATTTTTTTTAGAAAAATCTTTCCAAGATGAAGGCAGTTTGTCAATCACTGCCCCTACTTGGAAAATTTCAGGAATAGCAATAGAAACCATTTTCAGTTTGTTTACTAAAACTTGGAGCTCATGCAATTGCTCCAGAATCGGTTTTTCATCAACCATTTGGAATCTCAAATACTGAGACACAATATATTTGTTGGTGCCATCTTCTTGTGACTTGTATTTGAATTCCATTTCTTTCCACAACTCTTTAGGGCACGTAATCAGAGAATACAGAACATACAGATGATCTGACAGAGCATTCTTATTGTGTTCACAAGCAAGAGTTTCCTCTTCCTTGCGGATCATTCTTAGCTTTTCAGATAAGCAATTCTTTAAAGATCCAGTAGTTTCCCTGGTTCAGGGACCGAATCTTCGGGAATATGTAGGAGTCTTGGGTCCAGGACATAGTAGAGTTTTACTACCATTAACATAAATTTTACTTTGTCTGCCGAATGTGGGTAACTCTACCCGTCAAATTTCTCCAATTTCATCATGTCTTGATTGAGAATACGATAGTTCCCGGTGTCCATTTGAGTTATAAAACCTTAAAGATTGATGAAAAATATATTCCAATATAAAAGATGAAAACAAAATAAGATTAATCTCTAGTAAATGTTAATTATTTAACGTACAAAAGTAATTCTTTTAGAATTTAGAACCACCAACCCCTCAACAGCGAGTCAAAACCACCCAGATTGAATCTATCATTCGGGATATATTCAATGAAAGAAAGGAGTAGAAGCAGAGTTGTTCACTTAGTGAACAGAAAATTAAATACAATGCGAATATAAAAAACCAACCGGATTAATTTGCTGTCGATTTGGATTGTAATATGCACTGTAAAACCTGTTCTTTAAGGTTTTATACGACCACTCTATTCACGCTGTGAGTCTGCTAGTTGCAAAGCCCCAGGATTTGATGCAGTATTTGATTCGTTTATGAACAACGATGAAAAACGAATATATTACGTAGAAAACAGTAGGGAGTAAGTAGAACTCGGGAGCCGAACTCGATGGAGAGGAAATCAGAATTTTTCAGTGTGTATTTTGAACTGTCTTCAACCCTGTTTATATAATGGTTGAGGCCGATTGTCTTCCATGAAATCCTCATAAAGTGAAGATAATGGTGGAGAAAAATTCTCCACTAACCATTATCTCAAATACTAAGTAAAATCTGGTTTATTTCAAATAAAAAAAAACTTATAATTATCTTTCTCCGGATGAAATTTTATCAAAAAGATACTTGGAGCTCGGGGAGAGGCTCCTTCTGCTCCGATGAGGCATGAGAAATGTAAAGTGCGGCTCCTCGCGCCACCTTCGCAAATCCCGCGCCTGCAGCATCTGCCTCGGCCTCGGCCACGGCCACGTCCACGCACGCGTGTGTGTGTTGGGCCTTCCACTCAAGACCCCCACCATGAGTCCACCAACTTGTTCAAAGCCCATTTCTAGAGAAAGCCTTATAAGCTTCTCTAGAAATTAATTTTCTACCAATGTGGGATGGAAGGTAAACTTCCAACCTAAAAAGCCTATTACTTTCTACTGATTCACTTGTTCCAACCTCCTCACTACGATCTTCACTCAGATTGAGGCGATACATACCTAACTGCTAGTATCCCTTGCCAATGATCGTCTTCCTCTTGTAAATCACGACCTTCCTAGCCTCTATATTTATTCCAAACCAATTTTCAACGAGTTTTCATGTAGAGACGAGGCTCTTGTTAATGGAAGGCACGTGAAAAACATTTCGGAGATTGACGATCTTGCCGAAAGTGAACTTCAGTAGCGCGGTACCCATTCCAACAACATCCGCACGATCGTTGTTAGCAACTATCAGTTGCTTCCTATCTCGAACCAGTCCATATTCGACAAACTTGGACCTGGAGTCACAAACATGAATAGTGGCTCCAGAGTCCAAGTACCAGCCACCTCTTCCAGCCATAATTCTCCTAGAGGCCTCTGAGATCATGTCAATCTCTTCCATGTGGAGATTTGCCACAAGGTGTTGAATTCCCTCAACAAATTTAGCAGCAGGGGCCCGGACTTTCTTTCCTTACATTCACGAGCATAGTGTCTCGTCTCTTCGCAGACATGACATTTTTCGACCGTCTTAAACTTTTGTCCCTGGTTCGATTGACTGCCAGATCTCTTGAAACTCTTCTTTTGTGAACCCAAGTTCCACTTCCTGTTTGGCTCTCCGGCCCTTCCCTTGTCCTTGCCTCCAGCCTGTATGCTGTTGGCATTCATCACAGACTTGCCTCTCCTTTCTCGATTACGTGCCTCTTCCTTAGTACAAAGATGTTTTAGTAAATCATCCAAATAATAATCTTCGGTTTTATGCATCATTCTTTTAGAAAAAATCTTTCCAAGATGGAGGCAGTTTGTCAATCACTTGGAAAATTTCAGGAATAGCAATAGAAAGCATTTTCAGTTTGTTTACTAAAACTCAGAGATCATGCACTTGCTGGAGAATCGGTTTTTTATCAACCATTTGGAATCTCAAATACTGAGACACAAGATATTTGTTGGTGCCATCTTCTTCTGAATTGTATTTGAATTCCAATGCTTTCCACAACTCTCTAAAGCACGTAATCGGAGAATTCAAATCATACAGACGATCTAACAGAGCATTCTTAATGTGTCCACAAGCAAGAGTTTCCTCTTCCTTGCGGATCATTCTTAGCTTTTCCAGATCATCAATTCTTTGAAGATCCAGCTGTTTCCCTGGTTCATGGATCGGATCTTTGGGAATAGGTGGGAGGCTTGGGTCCAGGACATAGTAGAGTTTTACCACCATTAACATAAATTTTACTTTGTCTGGCCAACGAGTGTAACTCGACTCGTCAACTTTCTCCAATTTCATCATGTCATGATTGAGAATACGATAGTTTCCAGTGTCCATTTGAGTTATGTTAAACCCCAGAACTCATAATGTAAAAAGTAATGAAAAACAATAAGTGATGAAGAGCCAGAGGATCGATGAAGATATCAAGGCAGAAGCGACTAAGTCTGGAGTATAACCAGAGGACCGATGGACGATCTGGGATGCGATGGAAAGAGCATCCTCATCGATTCTCTGGTCATCAACACTTAGTGAATTCTCCAGCAAATCATCCAGAAGCATACAGCGGAGATCTATAGATAAGGATGATTCA